TATGGTGTCTTTTAATGTACAAAAGTTTTTAATTATTCCGTAGTCAAATTTGTCAATCTTTTCCTTTAAGGTTTGCAATATTTCTTTTTATTAAAAGAAATTCTTCCTATCCAATCTATATTATCTTCCAAAACTTAGTAATTTTGCTTTTCACACACTGTTTTTAATTCTCCTGAAATTGAATGGTATGAAAGTAGGAATCAGACTTTATGGGTTTTTGTGTATGAGTAGTCAGTTATCTTAGCACTACTTATTGAAAATTCTGTAGTATTTCTATTGAGCTGCTGTACCTTCTTTGGGTTTCATATCTGTGTGTGTAGCTATTAGGTTAAAGCAGTTCTTGATTCCTGATTTGTTAAGAGTTCTTATTCATAAATGTCAAATTCCATAATTTATCAGCATTTATTCAATAATCCTATTCTTTTTTCCTTCATTTGTTAATGTTGAATTGCATTAATTTACTTCCAAATATTAAATTGACCTTATATACTTAGGATGAATTCAATTTGGTTAAGATGTATTACCCACTTAGTATTTTTCTATATTTGATTTGCCGATTGTTTGTTTAGTATTTGTTTGTTTGTTTACAATATTCCTGCATTTTCCTTTTAATGCTTGCACAGTCTTAGTGATGACTTCTCTTTCATATTTTATGTTGGAATTTGTATCTTCTTTATTTTTAGCTATTCAAGGAATCAGCTTTTGGTTTCACTTATTTTCTCTGTTGTTTTTGTTTTCCGTTTTAGTTGATTTGTGCTCTTATAGTCATTCTTCCTTCTTTATATTCTCTTTTAGTTTAAATTTTTCCTGGGTTCTTAAGATATGAACCCACTGTAGATCACTGATAAAAGTCCTTTCTTTTTTTCTAGCATAAATCTTTAATGCTATGAATTTCTAAGTTCTTCTTTATGTACTTCCCGCGTATCTCATGTTGTATTTTTCATTTGCATTAATTTCTTTGTGATTTCTTCTTTGATCTATGGGTTACTTAGAAGTGCATTGTTCACTTTCCACGTATTTGAAGCAATTCCCAGATATCGATCTTTTATGTTGTGGCCTGAGAGCATACTTTGCATGTTTCAGTCATTTCACATGTATTGACATTTATCTTATGGCCCATACATGTAGTATGGTCTATTTTAATTGAGTTCCATGGGTATACATATTAAGTGTATTCTGCTATTGTTGGGTGATGTGTTTAATAAATGTCATTTAGAACACTTGACTGATAGTATTATTAAAGTTTTCTATATAGTTGTTTGGTTTATTTATTTATTTAAATAATTTTACTTATTATTTTTTAAAATTTGCCATAGAGCATATGTACTCACCAGAGAGAAACACAAAGAGAGAGGGAAAGTGAGAAAGCAAACTGCTAAGTCTGGGACTTGAACTGCAGTCGACCATATGGAAATCCATTTCCCTACCCATCATGCCACAAGCTAGCCCCTCGTTGTTGTTTTCAAAAACCTGAGAGGAGAATGGAGGAGAAGGGATTGCGGCGTGACCATCCCCCCTGGGGGGGGATTTCTCGCTTTCTGTCTCTATGTCTCTCTCTGTCTGTCTGGCGAGCGCACGCGCCCTACAGTGAAAAAAATCTCTCAAAAAAAAAAAAAAAAAAAAAAAAAAAAAAAAAAAAAAAAAAAAAAAAAAAAAAAAAAAAAAAAAAAAAAAAAAAAAAAAAAAAAAAAAAACCTGTGTATTCTTTCAGTTAGTGAGAGTTGTCAAGTCTGTAAGTATAACCACAGACTTTTTTTTATTTCAGACTTACCAGTTTTTGTTTTATGCATTTTAAGATCTATTTTTAGGTGTGTCTACATTTAGGACTGATGGGTCTTTCCATGAATTAACCTTCTGACACATTATTCATTGTCCATCTTTATCTCTGGTAATATTCCCTATTATAACGTGTTTTTCCCCCTCTCATATTGATATAGTCACTCTTACTTTCTTTACATTAGTGTTGCATTGTGTGTCATTTCTCATATTTTTACTTTTAACTTATTTATCTTCCCTTCTTTCTTTCTTACTTTCTTTATTAGATATTTTTGCCCTAGGGTGCTTGTGCTCACCAGAGATAGAGAGCAGGAAAAAGAGAAATCATCCCCTGCCCCCCCAGGGATGATGGGCATTTTCATTTGGGATTTTGGGCATGCACACACATGCTTCTGGTGGGCTGCCAGGTCCAGGACTGGAACCCGGAGTTGGGATCTAGCACCTTAACCACCTCACCACCTGCTGGCCCTATTTTCCCATCTTTTAGTACATGTCGTATACCTTTTGCACTAGATCTTTGAACCGATTCATCGTAGTTATTTCAAAGACCTTGTTATGTAGCTTCAACATGTTACTCATCTCTGAGTCTGGATTTTTTTTTACTTCTTAATTACTAAAATGGTCTGTCTTCTTTATTGCTTTTTACTGTCTTTTTTTTTTATCAAACATTGGACATTATATATGAAAGATCATTGAAGATTGAGATAATTATTATTTATGCCTAGAAATGGATAGCCTCCTTTCTTCTGCTGGGTTATAGGGGATTGAGTCAATCTAGTCAGTAGTTGAACAAGGTTTGTTTTTTGTGATTATTATAGTTACCTTCCAGGAGCTGCTAACTTCCCATTTGGTTGTCAGTGGGCTCCTGCTACCCCACACTTACTGTGAAGCTTGCAGCATGGAAGGCATCACTGTGCACTTGTTCTGTCCTTAATCTTAGGCAGTCCCTGTGCACTGGGTCCTCAGAGGAAGGACTTTGCCCATTTCTACCCCACTTCCTCTTGGCAGCTAAACTCCATCAGATTGGTCTTGAGCAGGAAGGTTTTATTCCACTTCTCCAGCAACAGACAGGTTTTGCTGCTGTTCTTATTCCAGTAGAAGCTGATATTTTCCTGGGATCACATAGCCAGAGTTCTTCCTCTACTGCCCCAAGTAACTTTTGCTTTGTCTGAGAATGGTTCAGAAATGGTGACATTTCTTGCCTGTGTACCACTGAGGTTGGCTGTCTCCAATCTCTGGCCCAACTGTGTGTCTTATGGGCACCGAGTGGTGGCTTATGGGAAACAGCCAGCAAGTGAACGTGGACTCTTGTGTCTAGGACTCGACTCCCAGGTATTCTAAATGGTTTGGCTAGTGAACACTCAGCAGTGCAAGAATTTGACATTTTCCATTGTTTTTCTCCTGTCTCCTTTTAGCTACTACCTCATCCTCCCATACTCTGGGAGAAGAGAAATAGCGTGTCCTCTTTTCACCTTTGGATGGGCTTACTACTACTACTGCTATTAAGTTCACATCCTAGCAGCAATTCCTCTGCCTCAGACTATATGCAAGGCTTCCGTAGATAAGGTGACTTTCTAGAGTATGCTTTTAGTGTGTATACCAATTTCTTTCAAAAACCAAAGAAAGGATCAAGCCTTCTAACCAAATAAAATCTAGAGAGTTAAAGGAGAGGAAAAATGTTCTCTCTTATTAAGGTGATAAATATGAAACTTCTTGGGACCAGCAGTTGGCATAATGACTATGTCACTGGACTAACATGTAGTTGACCGCAGTTCAAGTCCCAGACCTGGTGGCTTAAACTCACACCGGGAGCATGTGCGTGCATGTCCAAGATCCCGAGAGGAGAATGGAGGAGAAGGGATTGTGATGTGGCCATCCCTGGGGGGTGATTTCTTGCTTTCTGTCTCTCTGTCTCTCTCTGTCTTTCTGGTGAGCACACACACCCTATAGCAAAAATCTCTCAAAAAAATACATGAAACTTATTACTTAATTTTATATCTCAATTGTGATCATGATTTTAAAAAAATTACCACCTCCAGCCTACACTCATACTAGACGGGTTTGAGAAAATAATAAATGGATCTTTCATAGCAATGATTTTATGCCTTAGGAATATCTCCTTCAGCATTCAATAAATCGATATTTTAGATGTCACAACAGAAGGAACAACAGTAAAACAAAAATTATAAGGAAAAAGCAATTTTATTAGTCTTAAAAAACTAGCCTCAAATAAGGATCAGACTCAGGGCATGCAGTCAGCTCCATCAGGAACGTAACCTGATGGAAATGGCAACATGTCTGTCCATCCTGAAAAAGCTAGGATCATGCAGACTAGCACAAGGGTTACCAGACATGTGAGTTGTTCCGAAAGAGTTTACATTAGCCAAAGATAGCAAAGGAAGGGCTTACGGAGATGAGAGAAGGGAAAGAATTGGATGAAAGCCCATGAGCAGAAACTGCTGAAGCAACTAATTTATTGGCAGGGGTGGGAGTCCCTTCAGCAGATGTGGGATTGGCCTAAGAGAGATCTGGAATTACCTGGAGAAAGAGT